TCTTTAAACTTTTAAACTTAATAACAAAATGTGGAAATATGATAGAAAAAATTGCAATTTACATATATAATTTAAAGTAAAATAAAAAAGTCCTTCCAAGACAGATTTTAACTCCATTAACTACAGGCCATACTTACTTTTTCAAGTAATCATTTTCACTTGTTATAGAATCAAAAATATTGTATATTTAATTATGTAATGTAACATAAACTTTCTATAAATATTAACACATTATATCATATTGGTACAAAGTTTTAAAATACATAAGGACTACACAATAGTTTGGAACAGACAAATAACCAAGACAGATAAATACACACACACACACACACACACACACACACACACACACTTTCCTTACTATTTCCCCTTTTTTCTTCCATACATCTTTCTTATCGGGAGCTGGGGACAGCACAGAGGAAGAACGGAACAGAATGATTAAAAATTCTTAAATTCAGAGAGTCTAGAAAGGGAAATGCACATACAATTAAAAACAATAAAACGAGTGAATTATAACCTTCTAAACTATTACTGTTATTCTCTGAAGTGTATTCTAAATTAAGTTAGTTCAGCAAAGCTAAACTTTTTGTGTAGGACATTTTAGAGCTTTTACCAGATTAATCTTATTTGCACCGTGGTTCTTCAAGAATACTGATTACTGTTGGGGTGTCTGGGTGGTGCAGTTGGTTACGTGACTGATTCTTGATTTTGGCTTAGGTCATGATCTCAGTCAGGGTTATAAGACCGAGTCCCAAGTTGGTTCGGTGCTCAGTGCGGAGTCTTCTTGAAATTCTCTCTCCCTCTCCCTCTCCCCCTCCTTCTCATGCTCTAAAATAAATAAATCTTAAAAAAAAAAAAAAGAATAGTGATTGCTATTTTTCTTAAATCTACTTGACTTTTGATAGTACATCCCTCAGAATTGGTGTGCCACAGAATACACGTTGGAAAACATTGATGGGCACCACAACAGGGTTTTCAAAGGCTATGTCTCATTCTCATCCTTTTAGTTCTGAGGACTGAATTTCTAGAACACAGGGGGAACCTCTGATTTTGATTTTCAACTCACAAATGATTATGACTCATGTTGTCTGTTGCTGAATCACAACTCAGGATGCCCATACACTATGCATTTAATACATATTTATGGAAATAGACAGTACTAAATAAGTATCACATCAGCCCTCATATTAGTGATTCTTGATCACCAGTGGTACTATTTTCCATAAAACAAGACATTGGTACAAAGTATAAAGTAGATTTCAAGATCAAAACAGGAAACAGGATCAGAAAACAAATCTAAACTGAAGCTAGCTGGGAGACTGTCAGTATATCAAAAAGATGTGTATATTGGGGCACCTGGGTAGTGCAGTTGTTGGGCATCTGACTCTTGGTTTCAGAGCCTGGTCTCCAGGTCATGGGATAAAGCCCTTCGTCCTCTTCTGCATTCAGTGAGAGTCGGCTTGGGATGCTCTCTTTCTTTCTCTCCCTCTGCCCCTTCCTCTACTGCTCTCTCTCTCTCTCTCAGACAATCTTTTTAAAAAAAGATGAGCACAGTTGGCACTTCCTTTCTTTCTTTCTTTTTTTTTTTTTTTAGATTGTTTATTTATTTATTTGACAGAGAGAGAGAGATCACAAGTAGGCAGAGAGGCAGGCAGAGGAGGGGGGGGAGCAGGCTCCCTGCTGAGCAGAGAGCCTGATGTGGGGCTCGATCCCAGGACCCTGGGATCATGACCTGAGCTGAAGGCAGAGGCTTTAACCCACTGAGCCACCCAGGCGCCCCTCCTTTTTTTTTTTTTTTTTAAGACTTTATTTATTTGGGAGAGAGAGCGTGAATTTGTGCATTGTGGGTGGGCATAGGGAGAGAATCTCAAGCAGACTCTCCACTGAGTGCTGAGAGTGACCCTGGGGGTGGTGGTGGCTGTGCTCAATCTCATGACTCTGAGATCATGACCTGAGCTGAAATTAAGAGTTGGATGCTTAACTGACAGTCACCCAGGCTCCCCTAGGTGGTACTTCTTAATCAAAGTGATCAGTGTTATCTATTTGAAGTAAATTAACTATGTTAAAAAAAATCAGATAATGATTGGCTTGAGGTGTTAGGGATCTCACAGATTAAGAGAAAGCAAACTAGGCTATAAAAACCTTGTTAGTGTATCTGAAAATAACCAAGGGAAGTGTTATTTGGAAGAAACCTTAGAAGAAAAAAGGGAAGTATCAGCCTGTTTTAATTTATTCCCTTTATTCTCATGTCATGTTCAAACAATTTCTGAGTTGGAATTAGTTGCCTTATGTATATCCCTGTATATATATACATATATTCTGATCAATAACAGAGAGGGCCTAAGGATATAAACAACTCTAGCTCCCAAATCAGGTATAAAATATCATCCATTACAAATTAACAGTGGTATCCTAGTTTGAAAGGTAGTCTTTATTTGTAAATTTGGTTAGCATGAGTCAGATTAAAAAAGACACTATTTTTCAGCATTTATGTTTGGGACACACACACACATACATCCACCCACACAGACATTCACACATCATCTCATTCACACATCATCTGATTCACAGTTCTTACAACTCTCAAGTATGGTTGAGATTTTACATTTGACGGTACTTCCTCTAATTAATCAGATGTTAAGTGATTACCTACTATATACCAGGAAGTATGGCAATAGTGACAGATATAAAAATGAGTAAAACCAGTCAGTCTCTAAATTCATGGGGCTTTCAGTCCAGTGGAGGCAAACAAAAGAGGACACCAAGGCACAGAGAATTGAAGAGTCACTTTCTTTTCTATAATGTCCGTTATAGCTATGGCAACTTTTTACCTCAATAATCACAGTATTCAGTATCAAGGACCAAGAGAATTCTAGAAGCAATGAGCTTGAGATTGAGAATATTTCAAAAATATTATTCAACTACTTAGAAGGAACTTATTTTAGAAAAGAAACAAAAAGTATGGTCATTCCATTTTCTATTATTTATTTATTTTCTAATATTTATTTATTTAACTTCAAACAGTCTCTGCTTACTTTATATAATACAACTTATTGGCCTTGAATGAGACTGCTGTTGGAATTTGCTTCGTGGATCCAGAAACCAATCCATCACTGGTGTCTTAGTCTTGATATCAACTCATTTTATAATTGAGGAAAACACATGTGTCTGTTCTGATGACAGTTTAGCTGAGCTGAAACTGAACTGAGTGTATGAAATACTTTATTTGGCATGGGGTGGGGGAGTCTAAATTCTTCCATAAACATCAGAACTTCTCCTAGTCTTTATAATATTAGGGAGGATTCTTATTTCCAGATGCTCCTACTTTTTACTAAGTGACATGTATTTTTTAAAAAGCTCCTGATTTTTGGGGTACCTTGGGTGGCACAGTCAGTTAAGTATCTAACTCTTGGTTTTGGCTCAGGTTGTGAGATTGAGCCCAACTTGTGGCTCCGTGGAGTCTGCTTAAGACTTTCTCTCTCTCTCTCCTTCTGCCCCTTCCCCATGCCCACTTGCTCTCTAAAATAAATAAATAAATCTTTAAAAAAACCCCAAAAACAAAAAAGTCCAGACTTTCTCCAGAGTTATAAAATACTAGAATGCTGGACTTTTCTTTGGAAATATAAAAATATTTTGTTTGGTTCTGGGCTTTTAATGATATTAATGAGAAAACCAGAGAGATTCTCAGGAAAGAAAGAAAATGGCACTGAAATTAATTTATTTTTATATAATTCATATATAGCAGAACTTATGAACAGTTGACAACATATTAAGTCTACCAGTTTCCTTCCTAGTGTAAAACTATAAAAGGAAAAAAGAATTTTTGTATATTTTATCCTTCTAGAATATAAAAGACAGATACAAAAATCCTAACACTTTTATTTATTTTTAATTTTTGGAATACTTTGAGTTAAAAGATACTAGTCACCCCTTGCTTCCCACTCACCATTTCCTTCACAAAGGTTTTTAAAAGACATAAAATTTAGCTACATGATTATTAATATGGGAATTATCAGAATCTTAGTATGAGAAAGTATCCCTACAATATAATATGTTTCCAAACACAAGGTAATTGTTACTAAAATGGGAAGTTCTTCATTTAAAAATATCTCTAATAATAAAATATTAAAACTCTCATTTAAAAAGTCATCCATCCACTCATTCACTTAACCAGAAACAGAATGCTTTGCAGAATAGAAATTGTACCCACACTACATGCTCTTGGACCTATCACGTGGGGTCTATCTCTGGGTAGAAGGAACTTTGTTTTAGCCACTAAGGTTTTTGAACAGAATGCCCATGTCATCCTATCACTATTTCATTCAATAGTCAAGCTTCTCAGTCAGCAACAAGAAATGGCAACGTTTCATGGTCTTAATAGGATTTGCAACTATGAATATAAGGTATTTAGTTTAAAATTTTAAAACTGTAGAGGGGCAACTGGGTGACTCACTCATTAAGCATCTGCCCATCCCTGGGACGGAGGACTGTTTCGGGCTCCCTGCTTCACGGAAAGCCTGCTTCTCCCTCTCCCACTTTCCCTGCTTGTGTTCCCTCCCTTGCTGTGTCTCTCTTTGTCAAATAAATAAATAAAATCTTAAAAAAAAATAAAATAAAAATTTAAATCTGTGGAGATGGAAGAGATAACACAGTCGCAGAATCAAAGGAATATGGCATCTAACTGGTTGGGGTATTTTAGGCTATATCTTTTTGTCAACTTAATCTCTAGAAGAAAACAAGACTTCCAATCAAGAAACACTGGGAAAGGCAGGATGCTGGCAATACAGTTTTCAGTTTCTACTCAACAAATCTATCAATAGATCAATGTGTGTGTGGTTCGATGGAAGGACAAATATTCCCCCAAGGGAAAACAAATTGCTAGGATTCATGACTCATCTACCAAATACAGACATCCTTCTTATTAGTGAAAAGATCCAGAACATCAGGAAAAAGTTATGTGATGTTATGATGTCTCCTTTTGTCCCTCTCATCATACTCACTCTTGGAGGCTTCAATCTTCTATCATTATGGACTACAACCCCTGGTACTATCTCTGTGCCACAGAATCTTGGTTTTGTACTTCTAAAATTGTGTATTTTGCTTCCATTTGATAACTGTGTTTCAAAATGAACAAATACGTGAGGACTTAAAACAGTAATTCAAAAGAAAAGCTCTCTCTGATGATGGCTTTTCCCAAGAGGTAAAGCAACCTTTTGAGGAATGTCAGATTTTCACCAAATACAACTGGAAAGCCACTACTCTAACCTTGGTTGGATTCTCTGACAAGTAAGCCCAATCCTTTCTAAACACAATTAAATATACAGTAGTCCCCTCTTATCCACAGGGGATATGTTCAAGAGCCCCAGTGGATGTCTGAAATTGTGGATAGTATTGAACCTATATATACTCCCCACCATGGATACATACCTATGATAAAGTTTAATTTATAAATTAGATTCAGTAAGAGTTCAACAATAATAATTAATAAAATAGAATAATTATAACAATATACTGTAATAAAAGTTATATGATGTGGTCTCCCTCATAATACATCTTACTGTACTATACTCATCCTTCTTGTGATGATGTGAGATGATAAGATGCCTACATGATGAGAGAAAGTGAGGTAAATGATGTAGGCATTGTGATGTAGTGTTAGGCTGCTCTTGACTTTCCGATAATGTTGGAAGGGAGATCATCTGCTTCTGGACTTGTGGCTGACCCCAGGTAACTGAAACCACAGAAAGTGAAACTACAGGTAAGAGGGGACTACTGTAATAACTCTTCTATTTCCTGAAATTCAAAAAGGCAAAATTCATGTAGCTTTGAAATGTAAGTTTCTCTCAGCAGTGTTTTTAAAAAGATTTTATTTATTTATTTATTTGAGAGAGAGAGAGAGAATGAGAGAGAGCAAGCATGAGAGGGGGAAGGTCAGTGTAAGAAGCAGACCCCCTGCTGAGTACCTGATGCTGGGGGTGTGGGGATGGGACTCAATCCTGGGACTGCAGGATCATGACCTGAGCTGCAGGCAGTTGCTCAACCAACTGAGCCACCCAGGTGCCCTCAATAGTGTTGTTGTTGCCTTTTTTTTTTTTTTTTTTACATATCAATATATTTAGTTATATGTCCTTTCCCTTGTGTCCCAGGCCACCTTCTCTCTTTCTCTCTCTCTCTCTCTCATTCTGTGACTCTCATTCCTTGCCTCCTAGACAGAATATACTATGGAGGTCAGTGTTGTGGGAGAATACAGACTGAGAAATCACAAAAACAAAAGTTTACGTCATTTGATAAAAAAATAATACTTTACCAAATGGAAAATTCCATGAAATGAATTGACACTCCAATCAGATGACTTACCTAAAAATAAGAGAGACAGAAGAAAGTAAGAACCTGGTGTCATACTTAATTCTTGATATACTAGATTCCAAAAAGACATGGCAACTATCTTAACAACTGATGGACAATCCAAAACAAAGAGAAACTATACCAGGGCAGGAAACACCAATTCCTTCAGAAACAGTAATTAATGTTAGAAAGGAAATGGCAAACAGGGAGTGAAAGCAATGGGGAATGGAAGTGGGATTTACTTTCAAATCACTTGATTCTCATATATATTTTTAGCAGGCCAGTTTTGAAAATGTGAACACATACGTGCATAAAGGCCATAGCTAATCGGTGGCAGTGTATGCCTACCACTTTCTCTCCCAAGACCCCTGGCTACTGTCTTAAAGAGACTGTCAAAGCCACAAACTCTCAAATAATCTTCACCTCGTCTGACTCAAGAAAAAGGTGCCACTGTATCAAGTGCTACTGTAATTTCCTCTGTTGACTTTCTTTCCCCCTTAACATTTGGATTTTTTTGGCTGTTTGCTTTTTTATTTTCCAAAGTGAACACTGATATTCATGAAAGGTGCCAGATTAACAACTGGGGGAAATTAAGAGCTTGCTCTATCAAGAGAAATGGCCCAGTGTAGTGGAGGTGATGAAAATTTCTCCGACACTGTGCTTGCCTATATACCTTAGCTCTGACCCACAGTCACCCCAGCTCTCCAGTTTTCATGGTCCATTAATGCCTCTGACTGCTCAGGTTGCTAACATGGGCAAGCAGTCTTGTTCTTGCTTTTAATGCTATCAATATTATTACTACTACTGTGAGCTCTAACTTCCTCAAACTATTTGGAAATTTATATTAGCTGTTAGTTTGCCTCAGGTCAACAAGAGAATAAGTTGAACTGAAGGTGAGTCTTATATTCTTGAGTAATATTACAGGTTTCATTAAAATCTACTAATTTCTTTACACGGGAGGCAAAGTGTTGAGTGGGCAAGTTGAAACAGGCCTTATTCAATACAGTCTCTGCACTCAATCTGAATTCTCATTTAGGGACATTCAATATTTAATAGCCACACAGCTTTCATTTTTCCTTTTCCATAAGTCAATGTTATTATTCATTAGCAACTATGATAAAAGTTTGGTGGATGCTGAAGCTAAAACTATCATAAATGAGATCTGAAAATCCCTGTCAATAAGAGAAAAACATCTCCTTCTTGTATTTATATAGGTATTCCAGGTTTCTGAAAGGTCTGGGTACTTTGTAATCCTTAATCATTAATTAATCTCTTTTATGCTCAGGGATTTATGAAACCATTTTGCTTCAACTAGGCAGATACCCAACAACTATTTAGTGCTGGCATTTCCTTTCTGTGCCCAAGCAAGACAATAAACTTTTCCTATCTAGAATTTATAACAATAAGGGAAGTAAAGCTAGCAAACACATGTTAAATATTAATGGAACAAGGAAGTACGACACTGAATGCTGACTAATAATTACTCAGTAATTATTTGGAAAGATCACAATATTAGTCTCACAATTATTCCGTCTTTGCTATTGTACTTCTTTTTGACAAAGACCAAAGTCTCTGCAGTTAGAGTAAATTTCCATCTTGAAATGGCTGGCACTTCCTGTAATTTCTAATCTCTAGAAGTGTTAGAAAATGAGAATTGCAGGGTACCAATGACTGTAGCAACACATGGTAACAATTAGATGAAGGGTGCCCTGGCTGCATCTCACATGGAAATCTTGGGAAATTTGAGTTTGGGAACTTTGGCTATTTTTTTCTTTGCCACGCACAGACTTTATCAAGTGAGTCCTTATGGTATTAAAACATTTGGCACTGGCTCAAGTCTATGCTATTGCTGGCAGGAGATCTAATTGGGAAGCAGGGGTGGAGTAGTTACCTTTATCAGGAAAGACTTTAACTTTATGGAAAGGTTCTTTCCTCCCCACCGCATAAGCAGCTTTACTGAAAGACTTAAACCCAGATGTAAGAACAGAGATTATCTTCAAGAGCAGCAACAACTTATTGTAATTACGTTAGTACAAAGATTGAGAAGGTGGAAATGGAAAATATTTTGCTAACTTAGTAGATGAGAAGGGCAACACCCTTTATATAGGTCCCATGGCCAGGTTGTGCTGGGAAACCAAATCCAACCCCTAATTGCCAGGGAGGTCTGAGATTCCCAAATTGCAAGAAAATTAGAGCCTCACTACCTAGAAAACTAACAATCCCATGCTACACAATAACCAGTGAGTGAGAGGCCATGAGAATCTGCTCACCAACAGATACCAACAGACTTTTATCTCAGTGGCCACCTCTTGTCAATTCCTTGTTATCACTAGATGATAATATATCTATCTTTTTAAGATAATATATGTTTTACAATGATTCCTGTCAGTCCTATATTATAATTCATAACAATGACTATCAAAGCAATAGACCCATTTTGCCTATACAACACTTTAGCTTCCCTCCATGAAGTACTTGTCGGATTTAAAGCACTTTGAAGGTTGGCCTTAAATTGCAAAAATAGCAATACCTGTATACATTCTGGGCCAATTCTAGCCTTTTCTATGCCTTCGCCACCCAACTGAAAGTAAATTTTGTCATTAACTAATTCCCTTCCTCATTATATAATGGATTTCTTACTAATTTCTCCTAACTGGACTACTGCATCCTTTGTAATCTGGTTTCTCTCACTGTACTATCTTTTTTTTTTTTTTTAAGATTTTTATTTATTTATCTGACAGAGATCACAAGTAGGCAGAAAGGCAGGCAGAGAGAGAGAGAGGAGGAAGCAGGCTCCCTGCTAAGCAGAGAGCCCGATATGGGGCTCAATCCCAGGACCCTGGGATCATGACCTGAGCCGAAGGCAGAGGCTTTAACCCATTGAACACCCAGGCGCCCCTGTACTATCTTTTTGAGGTGCGGGATGTATAAGCATGGATCTCCAGAATTTGATATTTCATACAAAATAGATCAGTGAACACAGTAAAAGATCGTTTTTGTGGACAAGCCACTAAGGCTGTGTTCTACATGGTTTTCTAGTCAAATGAAAATTTTAAGCAATATGATATTCTGATCTCAGAAAATAAAAGATAAAAAGGCTAAATCTGAGAGACTCAAATCATTGACTCAATTGGTCATGGAGAGAAAAAAGGAAAGTAATAAAGGCCTTTGCAGCAGAAAATGACAGGTGATTTTTCCTCTTCTTACCGTTTCAAACATCTGACAACAGGTTAATGAATACCAAGGACACAAGTCAGGGAAAATTATAGGCCACAAGATGGTGTAAATCTCATATAAAAAACACCAGCTAAGGCACTGAGAGAGCTAGTAAATAAATACTGAAAGAATTATGAAGGTGACTATGCTCAGATTTTGAATAAAGAGTATGTAAAACAAGACCAAAGAAAAATACTTGAAAAACCAGTTTTCTTTGCTGAGGTGGGAGAGGGGAGACAGAGAGAAAGGGACAGAGATAATTACAGGCTCCACCCCCAGAATGGAGCCCTATGCAGGGCTTGATCTCACATGATCTCCTCCTGAGATCATGACCTGAGCTGAAATCAAGAGTCAGATGCCTAATGGACTGAGATACCCACGTACCCCCCAAAATCTGTTGTTTTTTTTTTTTTTAAATCCCTCATAATACATATTAGAGATAGCTCAATTTTAAGAGCTTGCAGGGTTTTAGTAATCCAACAGTTCAAGACAATGCATCATGGTCTACCTATCAAGAATGACTGTTTACTTTGACTGAGATGGTACAAAGATTATTGGTTATCTGATTGAATACAGACTCAGGACCATTTGTTCTTAGCTTTAATTTCTTAACTGAAGCAGCAAATTCTAGGAGTCACTATGCTGAGGGCTGAGTGCATCCCAAGCTGGATTTTCTTGGGAAGAGAAGATGTAAGATAAACAAGCTGGATTCCCATCATTCCAAAGCTGAGTTTAATAATACAGAAAGGGTAAAGCTAAAAGTCTGGGATTTTGATGATGGAATCCATGACTATATAGAGAAAATATATTTTTTAAAGGAGCCTTTAGGGCATAAAATTACAGATGATCACCTTATGAAAAGGGGTGAAAGGTGGGACTCAAATTTATCCCTCTGTGGGCAGTAATGATGATAACGGGGAAGGAGGAAAGCAGTGTATTAGTTAAGTACATAACAGTGCCAATAACAAAGAAATTTAGGGATTATTTAAGAAATGACTTATACAAAGAAAACAATTCAAAGACAACAAAAACAAAATTTAAATAAGAGCCAAAGAACAGATGAGGGCTGGAGGAGAGATTAGTTCAGTTTAGTTTCTGAAGTTCAACAGGGGCAGTGGAACTGGAGCCAGTCTCTCTTACTGCCCTTACCCCTCAATTTCCCAAATACACCTACATTACGTGCAGTTGAAAACTATGGCAAATGATTTCACCCAGACAGCTATGGCTAAGGGCTTTCTGATCTAAGGTGTTGGTCTTATCAATTTGCTTTTCCCTTTTCTACTATTCTTCATTCTCGTTCTGGTATATAAGGATTGAAAAAGCAATAGTGGACGTGGCAATCAACGAGACACAGCTGGCCTGTGGCAAAGGGACTGTGAGTAGGAAGAAGCTATATTTTGGAGGCAAGTAGAACAAAGGATTAGGATCTTCAAAGCCAAGAAAAGCTTCTCTCTGTGTTTTTCCCTCCTTTTCCCTCTTCCCCTTCTTGGGAAAAGATAGAAATTTCACAAAACACACAGCCTTTCTGAATTCATAACAGTCTCCTTTTTCTCACGTTCAAGGGTGTTTAATTTATTACTACTGTTAACATTTTACATGTATCTTGTTTTTATATTTTTCTCCTAAGAGCTTCAAAGAGGTTTATGGATTTTCATTAAAACAAATATGCCTGGTCATAGTTATATTGATAAAATTTAACTTTAGAATGATGGGAATTTGATTTAGTAAATGGTTATTTTTCTAGGATTTGCTTTATTACACCATAGACACATTTCCTAATCCAGTGGCTCTTAAAT